AGTTTTAAATTAATTTGTAAAAAATCTTGTTAAACTTTTTCGTGCTTTACCCATATCCAGCCAAACTTTTGGATTGTGCGCAATTTCTCAGATTTACCAGTGAAAGGAAATCAAATGAGGCATTTCTGCCGAAGCCTATAATTTAAAGTGAAATATTCTGGTAAAAAAAATTAAAAATCGAAATCTTTGGTGCCAGAATAACATGCGAAGAATAAAAGAAGCAAAAAAGACAGCTCTTCATCATATTTATGATAAGAGCTTCATGTATTATTCAATTGGAAATCATTAAGGCGAATGGAAAAGAGTACCACCCACGGCCCCCCGCGGCCCCCGCGATTATTTGCGTGTGAATTTTTATCTAATTTTTAATGACAATCACGTATTTTCCAAGAAAAAAGAGTTTCCGAAATCAAAAAATAGCGAAAAAAGATAAAATTTTCTTCACGTAAATAATTGCGGGGGGCCAACGGGGGGCCGCGCGGGGGTGAGCCCCCCGGGCGGGTGCGGGCGGGTGAATCGCCCCCAAATGGAAACCTTATCTTACCCTCTCTTCCATAATGTACTTCTTTTCCTTTCTGAACGAGTACACAATTAGGATGATAGTAAGCGGCAACACCTTCCCAGTCCTTTGACTCTCCAATTTCAATGTACTTCTCGAATTGGGGTTTCAAGCATGCCTCGGCTTCTGCAAAAATTCGAATGCTCAAACGTAAAAAAACGAAAAGCTCAATCTTACCTTGGTCAGTGAAAGTGGACATTTTAAGACAGAGCTGTCGAAAAAGTGATATTTTCCAAACTTTACCGCTCCATTTATATACCCACATCCAATTACTAAGTCATGTTCACTACGTTAGCCACACTGTCACAGATTCAACTCTCATCTTTTCAAACTGAACTTTTCAACCTGCGTCTATTGTGTACAGTACTGTTGTGCCCAGTGTGTCTGTTGGAGTTGAGATAGTCATAGTGCATGAAAAGTTGAGTTGGGTCAATTGTAGTTGATTGTAAACAGTAATCATTAAAACAGCATGGAAGATTGTGTCGTGTCATTTTTTGAATCTGCGGTTGAATTGGCTCAAAATATATAGAACAAAAAACACAAAAGCATGATCCGAACGGGGACAAAAAAGTTGAAGAAAATTGTATTCAATTGCTCGATGGTAGTGGGATATGGGAAAAAGTTTTCCAATTTTTTTGAGGTATGCTCAGCTTTCAGGTAGCTTACAAGTATTTCTTTTGCATTAAATCAATGCACTTTGAGCGAAAATCTTGTTAAATTTTGAAGTCACAATAACGAAGTACAGTATTCTTTGAGCCAATTTTAAATTATATTTTCGCGATTTTTCGACGAGTTCTCCGTTTTTTACAGTTTTAAATCTGTAAAAATGCATTAAAATGCTGAAAATCATTGAAAAACGCTAAAATCGAAAATAACATTTCAAACAGGCTCACAGAATACTTTAGTTTACTGTTGCGCCTTCAAGAAAAATTAACACGAGATATACGCTCTCAAAGTTTATTGTTTTCGGACAAGAGTAATACAGTGCGTCGCATAACTATAGAACCCCCCCCCCCCCCTCAATTTGGGGTGTACAGCAAAAACTAGAGTAGATAAGAAAAATTTGTGAATGCAGTTGGATTCAGAATCAAAAATAACCATAGGAACCAAATTTTCAGAATCCTACACGGCAAGAAAAAGGTCCATTTTTGACCGTCGCATAACTATAGGACCCCCAGATGTTTTGGGTGCACAGGTCGTTTTTTGACCATTTTATCTACTCTAAATTTTTTTATTTTCGTTTTTCATTGTTTTAAGCTTTTTCTGAAGATATTTCTCGCAACTTTCTTTCAAAGTGAACATGTCTGAATCCGATTTTCCCTTCAGTCAACAAAATCCATTTATTCTAAGCAACTAACAAAAAACACATCGAAAAATCAGTACTTAGCCTCTCCGCCGTTGTTTTGAATCACTTCAACGATCCTGCTCGACATGCTGGCTACAAAATTCTTCAATTCGGCATCAGTGAGAGCGTCCCATTCAGCCTGGATTGCGTCCTTGAGCTCCTGCACGGTCTTGAATTGCCTCCCGTTTTGATAGACCCGGCGAACGAGGATGCCCCAGATGTTCTCAATGGGGTTTAGATCCGGACTGCATGCTGGCCATTCGAGCACCTTGATTCGTTTCGAGACGAACCAGTTCCTCGTGGAGGTGCTCGTGTGGATAGATGCGTTGTCCTGTTGGAACGTGTGGGTGTGGCGTCTGTTGCGGAAGAACGGAGCCACGGCCTTTTGGAGAGTTGCTTGGTACGTGGCAGAATTCACCTTCGTGATGATGAATTGCAGTTCGAGCTTTTTTCCATTTCAAAAAGCGCCCCAAATCATAACAGAGCCGCCGCCAAAGTTGCGCCTGGAGAACAGCTGCGGATCTTTTCGGAGGTCTCTCCAGTAGTTCCTGTTGCCATCAGGACCGTCGAGATTCCACTTCTTTTCATCGGAGAACACGATCTGAATTCAATTTTCTTTTCAAAATTGATTTTTCAAACTCACGTTCTCCCATTTCGTAGTCAAATGGTTCTTCACGAAATTGAGACGTGCTGCTTTGTGGGCATCAGTCATCTTCGGAACTTTGGCCATCTTCTGACGAACGATGACTCCACTTCTTTTGATCTCGGTCTTCCAGCAGCATCCTTCAGCTTCTTCTCGTAATGGAGTGGGTCGTCGAGGTATTTTCGGATGACGTTACGACTTCTCGTGAGTTGACGGGACATCTCGTGAAGTGTCAGTCCAAGTTGTTTTATCACATCCACTTTGGCCTGTTCGGCTAATGACAATCACGTATTTTCCAAGAAAAAAAGAGTTTCCGAAATCAAAAAATAGCGAAAAAAGATAAAATTTTCTTCACGTAAATAATTGCGGGGGGCCAACGGGGGGCCGCGGGGGGTGAGCCCCCCCGGGCGGGTGCGGGCGGGTGAATCGGGTCGGCGAGGTATTTTCGGATGACGTTACGACTTCTCGTGAGTTGACGGGACATCTCGTGAAGTGTCAGTCCAAGTTGTTTCATCACATCCACTTTGGCCTGTTCGGCAAGAGAGAGGAGTGTAGCGCGAGCCATGGTTGAAGGAATGTTTCCGAGTCATATTTTTGGAATAGGGGCCAACTAATATTTTCAGTTACTGTACCTGCACATCAAACTATCGCCACGATCCGAATTACTGTAAAAAATGCAGCTGGAGATTTACGGAAGGGCCGAAGTGAAGCTTGATCTCGAAAATGAGTTCCTTGCATTGTTGGAAGTTCCACACGAAGATGTTGAAAGAAAGTTGCGAGAAACATCTTCAGAAAAAGCTTAAAACAATGAAAAACGTAAATAAAACAATTAAGAGTAGATAAAATGGTCAAAAAACGACCTGTGCACCCAAAAAATCTGGGGGTCCTATAGTTATGTGACGGTCAAAAATGGACCTTTTTCTTGCCGTGAGGGTATGGAAAATGGTAGGGTTCTGAAAATTTGGTTCCTAGGGTTATTTTTGATTCTGAATCCAACTGCATTTACAGCTTTTTCTTATCTACTCTAGTTTTTGCTGTACACCCCAAATTGAGGGAGGTCCTATAGTTATGCGACGCACTGTAGCATGTTATTGGAAATCAAGAGGTTTCATCATTTTCAGAAAATTTTCATATTCAGTGGTAACATGATCCAAAAACTTGAGTTCCTTTTCATTGAAGAATAACTTTTTCGAAATTTGGTTCATATACAGTACCGGTCCATGAGATTTACAAAAACACATGTTTTCTGTTGATTTTTTTTTCAGGAGTCTGGAGCTCGGCTTTCAAGTTTCCGATCACTTTGAAAATTCTGGAAGGTGTAAAAAAACACGAATAAAAAAACTTTGTGAGTACAACATGTTGTATGAATTGGTACTGTAGCTTTACGACAAGAAAACGACTATGAACAAAGATTGAAGCGTCACAAACTAGTGATAACACGATTGAGTTCAAAAATTGTAAATAAGTGATGACTAGGCCCGTTATCACGACGTATAAATGTTTAGAACTGCTAAATAAAAAGCTACAGTAGTTTCAAGGAAAATGGACGAAAACAACGAAAAAAAAAAGAAATTAGGAAACGAAAATACAATAGGGCGAACAATGACCGGAAATCGGAAAATCCAATCTTTAAAATATTTAGAAAGAAACATGCATACGAAATTCGAGGAATTCCCTTTCTTGTAGTCATAAACAACATTTGAACGAGTGGGACCAGGCCAGGCCGTCGAAACAACTAATATGATATCATTGAAGACGTATAGTGAAATCATTAATGTGTCCAATCTTCGCCAGTCTGGAGACGTCAGAATGATATACGATTGGAGGGCGGCGTGGAGGGCAAAAAGTGGTGGTACTGGAGAGACCTTTATAAAAAGGAAAGAATCTTTTGGACCCTCTTGCAAACTATCTTTCATTGTTTTTTAATTTTTTTTGGTTTACGTTAGAGCTATCAATTTCTGATAACTGCTTAGTTCTGCTCTCTGTTTTTAATAAGACTGTATTAACCTAATTACCTTGTTTAGGGTTACGGTAGGGTAGTTAGGAATAATAGCTTTCTTTGTTTTTTTTAATTGAGGGCCTAAATTATGCCATAACCCGTAACCCTACGTCACAACCTCAAACCTAAACATAGGGTTACGGTAGAATAGTTAGTCTCTGATAACACTTTAGTTCAAACACTGCTCACTAAAACAACTGTACTAAAAACATAGAACACAAACGGGAGTTTCCGTCGTTTGTGCCCTTCACATGAAAGAAAAATATTTCTATTTCTGGAATTATCAGATAAGAAAAAAGCGGAAACCAGAGTTTGTTGTTTGGTTGCATCGAAACCAATGTTTCAGACAATCAGAGTCTGAAACCCTTGCTCCCTTTACGCAATTTCCGCTTGGTTTCTCGTCTCTTATCGTCCCCTATATAAACCCCAAGCAGTTCAAAAAGTTTACTGAGTTTCAGTTCACCAAAACATGCAACAACCCTCTACTACTACCACTCTTCCAATTCTGGCCAAAAAAGTCAGAAAATTAGCATCTTCGAAATTCCAAAAGCTCAAGTCTCTGCTAGCTGGAGGAGAGGATGGATTTTCAAGATTCAAAAAAATCTACAAACTGCGAGGAGAGTTGGGAAAAGGAGGCTTCGGAGTGGTCTACAGAGGAATCAGAATCTCTGATAACCATCTAGTAGCCGTCAAGTTTATCGAGAAGAAGAATGTGAAGGAGTGGGAAACAGTAAGTGCTTGGGTTACAGTTCTTTCAAAACAAGACATGTATTTTTCAGCTGAACGATGGAAAAGTTCCAATGGAAATCTGCATGCTCTCGAAATGCTCCACAATTCCAGGGGTCATTGGTCTCCTTGATTGGTACAGTATCCCGGCTGGTTATCTAATTGTAATGGAACGCCCATATCCTTGCATTGACATGTTTGATTTTGTCAAGGGACAAGGAAAATTGCCAGAAGAGATGGCTCATTTCCTCTTCAACCAAATTGCAACAACCGTTCAGGAATGCATGAAGAACAAAGTTTTACATAGAGATGTCAAAGATGAAAACGTAGTGATCGATTTGGCAACCGGTACCACAAAACTCATCGATTTCGGAGCTGCTACTGAACTTCAAGACGGCCACTATTTCAATTTCCAAGGAACCGTCATGTGCTCGCCACCAGAATGGCTCATCAACAGACTCTACCTGGGTGAGGAAGCAACTGTCTGGTCATTGGGTGTCCTACTGTACACCGCCCTCAACGGACGTCTTCCTTTTCAAACAGTTGAGAAAATCTGCTCTCCCGCTACTGTGGGAGCTCTCCGATTCTTTGCTCCATTGAGTGAAGAAGTCAAGGATCTGGTCCGAAATTGTTTGATGTTCGAGCCAGAGCAAAGATGCTCTATGGAGGATATTTTGAAGCACTCATGGGTCCATAAAGAAGCTATTAGCTGGCCTGCGTTTACCAAGAAAATGGTTGAGAAGACTTTAGGTAATTTAAATTGTTTATTACTACAGTAAACTGATTTTTAAATTTTAGATCAAACCCACAACAAGAAAGTGTCACACCTCCATGACGAGACAGAAAAAGTCAAAGTTGTCAAACGAGTCAACATTCAACCAGCTGCTGACACCAATCATCCAACTTTGTATGCCAGAAGACAAGGAAACAAGCCACATTTGGTGTTAAAGATCAGTTAAGATTGAGACAATATTTTCTATTTTCAGTTCTTTTTTCCGCGGTAATTTATTACTGTCATTAGCTATGTTTTCCCATGTAAAAACAGACCGATTGTAACTTTCCATGTTCCTTTAATTACTCGGGTGATTTTTGATACTTATGATCTTGAATAAAGTTGCAATATGTATTATTTGATGAAAAAGCAAGCAATCAGGCGGATACCAGAACATCTTGAAGTTCTGGAAGAGAAAGGTTTGGTTCAGGAGCCAAAGCTCAATTAAAAACGGTTCGAATTAAAAGGGCTAATAAGACATACAAAACACGCGTTTTTCAGTTGATTTTCGGCATTTTCAGGAACCTCGACTGTCAAGTGTCCGATAACTTTGAACAGGTTGGAGAATGTAAAACAGTCATAGATTGAAACCTTCGCATTTACAGGATTTTTCAAAAATTTCTAGTTTTTCAGTTATTTGCCGATTTCTCAAAGGCACCCCTTTTTTTTGCCCGGTTTTGTACTGAAATAGTGGAAAAAAGCAGCTGCCTTTAGGAAATCGGTAAAAATCTGAAAAACTGGACAACTTCGAAAAGTTCTGTGAACGCAAAATTGATTTAAATCATATTATCTTATCAACAAATTTCCCCCTAACTATGCGTGTTTGTGTGTTTTCATGTGCATTATAATGCGTGTTCTTTGATAAGACACAATTTACAAGGGGCCTGAGAAATTGCAAAACTAGGCTTTTGGATTGGCAAATGAACTTTTGAATAACTTAAAAAATAAGTTTTGACAATTCAAAATTTCCTTTTCTTCGTACCTTCGTCACCTACACTGTCGTTCTACTGTATTTTGATTTTATTATTGAATTTACGTATCAAATCATCTTCCCCCTGACTACCATTTCTTATCACTTTTAGCAGAATCTGAAAATTGAGAGCCATGAGAAACACGTGGTGTATATAATGTCATTTTTGATAAGACAAACGACTCACTCGACAGAAAAATTATGTGGCGTCTTGCCGTTTTTCTGTCGCTTGCGGCGTTTTTCGTTCACGATGTTCTGGGAAAAGGAGACCCCGAGTTGAAGATGACTACTGTAAGTGATAGATTACTGTATGACTACTGTAAGTAATGGATTACTGTAATTGTGATTTTTTCAGCCCCAAATTATTGAGCGATGGGGATATCCTGCGATGATTTATTCAGTCACCACAGATGATGGATATATCCTGGAAATGCACAGAATTCCATTTGGAAAAAGTGAGTTCTATCTTTTCTGCGGACATCTCAATCTCTTAAAATATATGTTTCAGCTAATGTAACATGGCCAAATGGAAAGCGTCCAGTAATTTTCCTGCAACACGGGCTCCTTTGTGCTTCCAGTGATTGGGTTCTGAACCTTCCAGATCAGAGTGCAGGTACAACCTTTCACAATTTTGTATTCCTATCCCACCATCCGAATTCTTAAGGATTCATCTTCGCCGATGCTGGATTTGACGTTTGGATGGGTAACATGCGTGGAAACACATACAGTATGAAGCATAAAAATTTGAAACCATCTCACTCAGCATTCTGGGATTGGAGTTGGGATGAGATGGCGACTTATGACCTGAACGCAATGATCAATCACGTTTTGGAAGTGACTGGACAGGAGAGTGTGTACTATATGGGTCACTCGCAGGGTACCCTGACAATGTTCAGCCATTTGTCGAAAGATGATGGAAGTTTTGCGAAGAAGATCAAGAAATTCTTTGCGTTGGCACCAATCGGATCCGTGAAGCATATCAAGGGATTCTTGGCGTTCTTTGCAAACTACTTTTCATTGGAGTTTGATGTAAGGGATAATAACATTTTCCCATATAAATGCCGTACCCTATACGTCCATTTTGAGCTCAATTATCTCGTTTCCTTCAAAAGATACCCAAAGAATTGCAACTGACAAATTATTTTTCATAATATCGCCAATATTTTATCAGTTGACAAATTTTTGATATCTCTCATAGGAACGAAGATAATTGAGCTTAATGTGCACGTATAAGGTTAACTTCTATTTGAGCATTTAAAGGGGGACTCCGGTCAATTTTTTATTGCATCAAAATGTGTTAAAATTTATCTATTTTCAGAATATTATTGCGAAAAAATTCGAAAAAAATCCGAAATCCCCAAAAAACGCCGTTGAAAAGGAAAAAAATTCCAATTTTGACTCGTCGGGGCATTATCTAAATTGGAAGTTTGGAAACCTCTCTGGTTCAAAATCTCCAATCTGCTCTATAAGTTTTGTATTCATTTCTTCGGTTGGGCGTCACCCTAGATTTCTGGTTTACCGTCTTGTCAACCTCAACCTTTGGTGCTTCTGTTTTGCCGCGAAAAGTTTCCCGATTAGTACTATTTCCGGAGATCATTCTGATTTTCGCTCATGCAAAATGTTGTACTAGATGTGACAATAACAATTTGGAAAACGGGAAACAAGTTAAG